TTACTAATATTTTCTATGGACTTGGTCACAAATATTAAATCAGAGCCAACCCTAGGTCTCCTCAGTGTTAGGAATTTTTTCAGCACATGCTGCTTAGTAAGTGCTCCCGCGGTCAAGTCTTATCTTCCAAATGCAAATAGAATCTCTTAAAAACAGGATTCTATGAATAGATTCTATGCTCCCTAGAGTTTCTTGCCAAACCAGTACTCAAAGGCATTCCCAGCCCTGGTGTGATTTTGCTAATATGTCACTTCCAGCAATGGTTGAGCAAGCAAGGAAGAAAATGTGTGTTGCTTTAGTAGCTTGAGATATTTTCTTCAGTAAACTGGTCTTCTGTCTCCAGCAGAAATACCATTGAACTTCCCTGTTGTCAATGGACAGATCATTTCTAGACATGTGCCAAATTTCTTGGGGAAACCACCCATTTTAAACAACTCTTTATTACCCACCACTGGCAGCTGTGAGGTTAGAAAGAAATTACAGGGAGAAGCTCGGTTTCAAAGGTAGATGCATCCAATGAGTAAGGTAGTGGAAAGCTTTATTTACATCCATTGCCTTGGAAAAGATAACAATGGTCTGTTGCTGTTTTAAGAGTCATTGGCTTCAAACAGGCAGAAGTCATTAATGTGCAATATGCACCTGATGGAAAGTCCTTTAGCAGAAGAAAAGCATGAATGCCACTGTATCACATCTCCTCACACACATCCCGGTCCAATGTCATGCACAATGTGAAAAATGCAATGAGAAATGAATTGCAGCATTGGGGTATTGAGGGATTCTGCGGGAGTGCAGATAATGTTCCACTAGGCAACAAATTCAGCTTCCAGAGAATCTTTGTTTTCCATTAAATAAAAAAGTTTCTAGTCCCTGTGGTTGAAAAGGTGTGCTTGAAAGTGTGTGGTGGTGAAATCCCAGAAGTGAGGAAATATATTTAATTTGGTTTCCATGGTAAGGGGGGAGAGCAGCCCTTCCCACGACCAGCAAACCAGAACAAATTATGCAACATAGCAAAATTGCAGGAAGAAAATTGCTCAAATTGCTGAACATAAACAAATTTTAGATTTTTATATATATATAAAAAGCACTGAATATATACAGCCTTAGAAATAAAAACAAATATCACTATATGGCATAAGGTATGCAACTCCATATTCCCATGAGCGGGGCTCTGGTAGATCTATTCGTTTGGTGGGAGGGCACGCAAAGCTATTGAGAAGAAAGGAATGAGAAACTTTTCAAGTACTCAACAAGTATGTAAGAAAACCAAACCTCTTTTAGGATAACAGCACATGGCTCCTTTGGTCTGTGTGAACTGATAAAGGAAATGTGTGTGCCATCTGGCACTGTCTCCAGCCAGGAATGAAGTTTGTTTGCACATCCCAAGACTTCAGATTTTTAGACATGTTTGTTGGACCACTGGTTAGTCTGTGTCGCAAACCTCCTCTGTGGCCTTGGGCAAATTACCTGTTTTAGCTCTGTCTTAGCTTTTCATTCGAGATGAGTAGCACCTCCTTGCCAGTCAGGGCTGCTGAGTTTATGAATATGTTTCAGATGCTGAATACCTTGGGTACTACTGTAAAAGGGACACATGGTGTAATCTGGGACTTCCAAGAGACTTTTGTTTCTCTTCTGGAAATGGAACAACATTCTTCACTGTGTAACCCAACAAAGCACCAAGTTCCTACTCTGAGAACACTCATATTATTTTGTTATAGCCCCAACCATATTTAACTGCAGGTTTAAGCAAATCATAATAGTTTTAACAGCATAGTTATATGTATTTCCCTTGCTAGCCATCTTGTGATTAGGTCATCGTTGATCTAGTCGCCAATCCCATGCATGTTTACAAAGAAGCAAATTCCATTTCAGTCTGCTCAATTTTTTTAATTGATTTTCCAACTTTTAACCCAATTATACAAATTATTTCCAAATCAAGCAAATTCCATTGCCATCAAAAGCAACAAAAAAGGTTGGATTTGTAAGCAGTCATGGTGTATATAGCTGGAAATTAGCCTTATCATTTTGTATGGCGTGATTTTCCATTGACCTATATCAGTAGTCATATTACGTTTCTTCTGGCTGGGCTTGCAAATTTAGCCATTGCTGTGATGATGTTTGTGGTATGTCATTTAGTTAACCTTCCATACTCTCAAGTCCTTGGATGCCTCACTTCACCATCATCTGTCCCTAACTTGTCCCTACTATACATAGAAAGCAATGGACTGGTGACTTGGAAGATAGGAAGAGCCTCCCCATTGCTGTGGCCTGATTTACCTCTCATCCATCATGAGTTTTAATTTCTCCCCTAGAGTTTCTCCACCATCCCATGCTTCCATCTTCTGCTGCTTCCTTCAGCATTTCCTCTAGAAATGATTTATTATTAAAGAGCATGTTCCTCCTTCAGTTAGAAGATGGAAACAGAAACTCAATAGGCCTAAAATATGATACCGGAAGCAACCAACTTGTCAGAGAACGCTTCACAAATCTGGTTGCTTTTGATCTTTCTTCCTGAAAGCACTTGCAGGTTGAGTCTGCACATCACACAGCACAAAAGCACTGTTGTCACTGGGAGTGGTGGGTATGGGTGGGGTGCAGATAAAGCGTGGGGGAAGCCATCATTTAGTCCTTTGGCTGCATGGGCCTAGCACAGAGCAGCAGAAGACAAGGAACAACTCGAGAAGCAGGCTACTTGTTGATGTGCAGGAGCCCATTATGGCAGCCCACCAAGAAGAACCTGAAAATCCAGCCCCAAAGATTTCCTTGCTAATCTGTCACAAACTATAGTGAAACCTGACAGCTTCATTATCACCTCATTCACTTGCCAGAGCGAGGAGGGCCCATCAGTTACGCTGGTGCTCTGGTGGGTTATTGCCATTGCTCCTGTTGCGAAAGAAGCCTCTGAGGTGCAGTTCCATGTATTCCCTCTCAATTGCACCTGCCTAGAAGCAAGACTGTAGGGTAGATGTGACGGTAAAGAGGATGGTGGCCTTACCGTCACAGCAATGGTTGTGGAGAGGGGTGTCGCTGCAGTGTGCAAACTGTAGGCATGGGACTGAACGAATCCTTGGCCAGTAACTTTCTGGCATGTTTCCATTATATATCTCAAACGCCTTGGAGATATGCTGCTCTCCTTCACAGTTTACAGTGTTAACACAGCAACCACCATACGAGCGCCAGTATGCAAGAGTGGTTTGATTGTTGGGACTAGGAGGGTTCAGATGCCCAAGAAGCCCATTGGGTGACCTTGGGGTAGTAGTCACTGTCTCTACCTCACAGGACTGTTGTGATGAAGAAGGGGGTGAACCATGTATGCCACCTTGAGCTCATTGGAGGGGGAAAAGGTGGGATACAAAAATAATGAACAAACAAACAAACAAACAAACAAACGAGAAACAGCTTTAGGAGCACTTTAGGAGATCAACAAAAGTTGTGCAGTTTCGCACTTGAACTGAAGCCGGGCAACTATTCATGGGAGAAATATATAATTGTGCCTCAAAAAAGCAAGGAAAAAATTAAAAATTAAACCTACTTTAAAGAGTCTTAAATTCACAATGGAATGTTAGATGGCAGAGAGCTGTGTATGGACACAACCTGCCCTTGACCCTTAAAATAATCTGCTGCCTTAGTGGAAGATACTTATGTAGGGGGAGCCCAGTGCCATTTTCTCCTGCACCTCAGGCAGCCGGCCCTGCTCCTTACATTTCACTTTTGTTTGCAGTGCTTTCCAAAGAATCACATAGTTAATCCTTTCAAATAAGCTTCGGAAAATACAAAGAACAGAGAAACTGTTAAAATCCTCCTCCTCTTACTTGCTCACATTGTATACCTATCAGCTGGGCAAAAGCAACACACACACACACACACACACACACACCCTCAGGTCCGACACTTGGTGAAGTCCCAGAAGAATAGTTTCAGATTTTACACAGAAGAAAAGAGATCTGCATCTGTTCAATTACATAATCATAAAATCCTAAAGAAACACGCCTTTCAAGTAGCCTTCCCTTGAGCCCAATGTTCCTGTTGTGTTTTTATGAGTAAAAGTCCCCTCCTTCTTAGAATATGATGTAAGTATCGGCAATGGTTTTCAGGAGCTAAGAGATGAACATATTGCTCTAAGGCCCCTAGAACACAGCAGTTCTCTGAGAATCCCTTGTTGAATATTCTGCTTCTTCGCGGGAATGACCAAACCAAACTCCTACGCCTGGTCAATCTGTCTTCATTCCCTCCACTCCCCAGCTCCCATTGATCATTCACAGCTTCCTTCTGCAGATCCATGTCATTCTTTTCCTCTGTAAAATTCTAATTCTCTCCTCTTCTCCTTCCTCAAAACTATCAGAACTTTGGACATTAAGGCTCAGTGCAACACTGACTTTTCTGGTGTGGATGTGCACAATTGTATGGGTTGGAGCCAAACTTGGTAAGTTAGGCATGATGGAGGTGTAGCATAAGCATGGCTAAATTCCAATCTGCACAATACATTGAAAGCAGGATCACACCACGGTAAACAGTTACAGATTCGCCCAATGAATCCTGGGAATTTTAGTTTGCCAAGGGTGCTGAAAGTTGTTAGGAGATCCCTATTCCCATCACAGAGTTACGATTTCCAGAGTAACTTAACAATCAATCCTTCTTCCCAAGAGACTTTAGGAACTGTACCTCTGAGAGGGTAATGGGGATCTCCTAATAACTCTCAGCACTCTTAACAAAGTAAAATTCCCAGGATTCCCAGTTACTTAACTCAAACCTATATCTGCAAGTAGAAGACAGGAAAAGATTCAGGATTTGGCTTCAGACACATCAAAAAACTGTAGAGTTGGAAGGGACCCTGGGGGTCATCTAGTCCAGCCACTGGACTATATAGACAGATGTAGATAAACTGCAAATGTGCCCATGGTTTTAAGAGGCACAGAAAGGCCATTGTCAGTTTGGTTATAGTATGCCAGAAGTTGCCGCACAGACCACCATTGTAATATTTGAGAGATGAGGAAAGCAAAATCTCAAGGGATAGCTCAGTTGGTAGAGCATGAAACTTTTAATCTCAAAGTCATGGGTTCGAGCCCTGAATTGGGCAAAAGATTCCTGCATTGCAGGGGGTTGGACTAGATGACCTTTGGGGTCCCTTCCAATTCTAAGATTCTAAGGGGTGCTACCAGATTTCAGCAACAGCAAAATTTGAGGCAAATTGGGGTGAGGCAAAACATTATTATTTTTATTTTATTTTTTGAGAATTTTGAAGTATATTAAAGGATATTTTTCTAAGATTTTCTGAATTTGATTGGATTTTCCTCAAAAGGCCTATTTCATCTCTAACAATAAGTGAACCTTTGGCATGGGCTGCAGTAAAACAGATTTTTTTAACTGAGGGCTACGTTTTCGCCACCAACATCCCCTCAAGGTTTCTTGTTGTTTTTTTAAAGTGACCTTGTGGGAGATATTGAACATTCCCTTACTGGGCAATAATACAGCCAGCCTAGGTGGGGGAAGGGTAAGGAGGATCCTTCGCCAATCGCCCCTTGTTAGGCTACCTCACTGACCACTTTAATCACAGCTCCATTGACCCAAGTGTCTGCCTCATCAAAAGAAACTGGAGTTCAGTGTCTGTTCTGGGAAAGGCAGAGGGAAAGGAAGGGGCTAGGGGGGGGAGCGGGGGTCAGAGCGGATGATGGTTTCCATGGTTTCAGCCTTCACTCTTTCCTGGTGATCCCTTCTTCCTCATTGGCAGCTAATTCCTCCCGCATAGGTCCCGTTCATTGAAATTCACTTTTCTGGGGAAGACAAAGGCGCACATTATGTGACATGTTAAATCTTTCACCAGTTGAGGTCAATTGAGTTGAACCTGCTTACACCAGAATAGATTTTGGCCAATGGCGTATATGTGTGCGACTCCACTTTGTGTCCAGTTTTCAGCCAATACTACTTGATTCTTACCAGTCAGTGCCACGCTGAATATGGCCTGTCCTAGATGTGTTGCCTTGAGAAACCATGACATTAAAAATGTATAAATCCATCCTTTCCTTCTCTCTCACACACACTGCTTTCCACATGCCTGCTATGCTCCCCCCCCTTCAATCCTAGCAACATATTTAGGGGGTCCGTGTGTTCTGCCCTCTGTTTGAAGAGCTTTCATAGAGTAGTCCTCAGACTCCTGTCCAGTTTACGGGCAACTTCAAGGTTTCTGCTGCTCTCCTTCCTTAGGGTTCTTTATCTTTAAACCTGACATGAACCAGGCAACCCTTTCAAATATCTATATATTTATTTGTTGAATTCGCAAAATAAATAAATAGGTATTTGAAGGCCGTCTGGTTTGAAGATGAAGAACTCTAACAAGGGAGAGCAGCAAAGGTCTTGAAGTTGCCCTTCGAAAGTTGGCACCTGGAGAACAGAATGAGCACACACAATACAGGCCACCTGGTAGTGCTATTTTTCTAGAAAAAGAGGTGCTGGAACTCTTATACAGTGGTACCTCGGGTTAAGTACTTAATTCGTTCCGGAGGTCCGTTCTTAACCTGAAACTGTTCTTAACCTGAAGCACCACTTTAGCTAATGGGGCCTCCGGCTGCTGCCGTGCCGCCGGAGTACAGTTTCTGTTCTCATCCTGAAGCAAAGCTCTTAACCCGAGGTACTATTTCTGGGTTAGCAGAGTCTGTAACCTGAAGCGTATGTAACCTGAAGCGTATGTAACCCGAGGTACCACTGTAATTGCAATGGCACCCACCTGAGAGGTGCCAGAACTGAGTTTTGGTGAGTTCTGATGAGTTTCGGCTGGGGAAAAAAAAAAGACTTGCCGCCTGTCTTCCCCACTAGGGTGAAAAGTATTGAATTCCTATTATTTTTAAATGTGCATCTATATACATAAATCCGCATGTGCAAATTTTGTGCAAACCTGCACCAAATTTTCTGCCTTTTGCTTTGCCTCTTTTTGGGGGACAATGTATAACATAACTGGCCACCCTAATCAGATTATAATCAGATTATAGCCAGAAGGATCATCTCTAGTCCATGCCTCTCCAACAGGAGGATTTCCTAAAACTTAAATGCTTTATATTTTGTAGCAAAGCTGCATTTGCGTCCTTCCTGATTTCATCAGCTGTGCCTGGAGTACTAGGCTTGCCAGATGTCTTCATTTAAAGGAGTTTCTGCTTATTTTCTTGATACAGTATTATAATCCCCTGAAAGAGAATCAATACCAGGGAAGGTCCTAGAACAGATAATTCAACAGTCGGTCTGTGGGCATTGAGAAAAGGATGCTGTTATTACTAAGACCCAGCATGGGTTCCCCAGAAATAAGTCATGCCAGACCAATCTGATTTCTTTTCTTTTTTAATGGAATTACAAACTTGGTGGATCAGGGAAATGTTGTGCACATAGTGTATCTTGATTTCAGTAAGGCTTTTGACAAAGTACCCCATGATATTATCACAAGGGAACTGGTAAAATGTGGATTTAACGTTGTAACGGTTAGGTGGATTTGTAGCTGCTTGACTGACCAAACCCAAAGAGTACTCATTAATGGTTCCTCGTCATCCTGGGGGAAAGTGACAAGTGGGGTGCTGAAGGGTTCGGTCCTGGGTCTGTTGTTGTTCAGCGTCTTGAATGAAAGAATTGAGGAGATGGTAATCAAATTTGCAGATGACACTGGGAGGGGTAGCTAATGCCGCAGAAGACAGAATCAGAATTCAAAATGACCTTAACAGATTGGAAAACTGGGCACAGGCTAACAAAATGAATTTCAATAGGGACAAATGTAAGGTTCTGCACTTAGGCAGGAAGTACCAGATGCACAAATATAGGATGGGGGACACCTGGCTTACTAGCAGTACATGTGAAAAGCATCCAGGGGTCTTGGTGGACCACAAGCTTAACACGAGTCAACAGTGTGATGCAGCAGCAAAAAAAGCTAATGCTATTCTAGCCTGCATCAACAGAAGTATAGTGTCCAGATCAAGGGAAGTAATAGTACCACTCTATTCTACTTTGTTCAGACCACACCTGGAATATTGTTTCCAGTTATTGGAGCCACAATTTAAAAAGGATATTGACAAGCTAGAACGTCTGCAGCGGAGGGCAACCAAGATGATTAAGTGTCTGGAAACTAAGCCTTATGAGGAGCACTTGAAGGAGCAGGGTAATTTTAGCCTGGAAAAGAGGAAACTGAGAGAAGATATGATAGCCATCTTCAAATATCTTAAGGCCTGTCACATGGAAGAGGGAACATGCTTTTTTTTCTCCTACTTTGGAGGGTAGGACTCAAACCAATGGCTTCAAGAAAGGAGATTCTAACTAAACATTCGGAAAAAGCTTTCTGACAATAAGAGCTGTTCAGCAGTGGAACAAATGCCCACGAAAGGTGGTGGACTCTCCTTCCTTGGAGGTTTTTAAGCAGAGGTTGGATGGCCATCTGTCATGGATGCTTTAGCGGAGATTCCTGCATTGCAAGGGGTTGGACTAGATGACCCTCAAGTTCCCTCCCAACTCTATGATTCTATGATTCTATGAAACCTACTTAGAATTAAATTCTTAAAAGGATCATTCACTGTGCTGCAGTTTAATACTGCTTATTTCATCTAATGAGAATAACACATTGCCACAGCAGTATTCCCAAGCTCTCATACCCTAGAAAGGAACTTATTGTTTTATGTTACATTATGTTATTTACATCTATCGGTTGTTTTCAACAAGCCATGTCCACCCAGTAAAGAATGTGAAAGTAACAATATCCTCCACACAAATCTGTGGTAAGCTAGGGTTTGCTTTGTACTTCTTGAAGCTATTTTACTTTTTAACGAAAAATAAACAAAAAGTGACTTACACTATAAAATTAGTGGCATAACTATATACACACACACTTTAAATGCTATTAACTACACACAGAGAGAGATGCCATTAAAATATAAATAGGATTAAATTTATCTTCTCTTTAAGAAACAGAGGAGAAAATGGAGGTAGAAAGTACCAGTCGGACAGACTGAAAATTGAACTCGTATTGTAAGTTCTAAGCATCTTGAAAAAATAATAATTCTGGTGTGAAGACCTCAGTCATGTTTACAAATACACAAACACAGCCCAGCCTTTGGCTTGCTCCCAAAGCAGCACGTCCCCACAACTGGCTTGTGTTCAAGACTTGGCGTTGCCTCCCCAGAGTCATTGTAAGTCAAAGCAGAAGCCCAGAATATGACATAACACAGTTTTTTTGCGCAATATTTTCATGCACTTTGAGGTACAGCAGAGCAAGGCTGGTAGTGTTGTCCCCATTACTTCAGTTACAAAAATATTATGCTCTGCCCTGCATTGAACCTTGAATAGTTTGTTTAAGAGATGAGCACTAACGTTTGCCTTCCCACCACCACCAAATGATTGGCTGAAGTGCCTGGATGGCTTTTATGCCCAATTCATTATGGAGAGTGGGAGAGAGAGACCCTTACTGGTACTGGCCTGCGTGTAGATGCTTCTCCAGGTCCATATAAGCTTACTGTTTAGTCATTCTTTATGTGATGAAGATATGTATTCCACCACTGGCTTAATGAGAGTTTGGAGTGTGTGTGTGCGCGTTGTGAATTTGGGGGGGGGGTGCCCCTAACAACACAGCTTAGTAGTTTTGTAGTCACTGGCAGTTAGGCCCAGGCAGGCGTCAGAAGAAGCCAAGCTATGGTTCGGCCTTCTTCAGCTGCCTGGCTGATGCGTTATTACAGAATCCAGCTGACTACTGCATTTCCTACATTGCATTACCAGCTTTTGACATGGATGTTAGCTGCAGCTAGGATTTCAGTAGCCAAGCAATGGAAAACCTTGGGGGGAAATCTACATTTGTTTTTGTGGTGTAAGAACTTGTGGACTTCAACTATTGCAGAGGGAAAAAATGCACATGAACTGCATTAGGATCCAGAATGCTTTTATGTTATCTGATGGGATTTTATTTCCCATACTTCAGGCTTAAATGCTCAGCAGTCACCATCCACACATGAACTCCAGGGCGGTGTACATTAGAATAAAATATATTTGCAATATTAAAACATAGGATTGAAAATACTTTATCAAAGTAATTACTTTTGAAAAAAACAATAAACCAAAAACCAGCTAAAATAACACAATAGATTTAAAATCAGTTTAATGGGCTCTTAAAAGGTTCCTCTGCAAGAATATTTCAGTTCTCTCATCTGTCATAAAACTGGGACTATAGATAAATAGAATTGCTATTTTTGAGTGTGGACTGTGCCTCTTCAGCAATGGCTTCCGTTTCCCAGAGCTCCCATGCAGACTGCTGGTGTACCAGGTAGAGTCTGTGTTCAGTTGTTTGTGGATTATGGGTATTGATTTCACTAGCCTAATTTCATGAGTGTACTGAGAAAGCTCCAGTTAGACATGACCTAAAGGACACTTGGACCTCTCACAATTATGCAATCACTTGTGTTGTTAACAGTGCCTTTGCTCTTGCTTAACCATTATAGTGTTTTCTAACAGTTCCCCACTGGAAGAAGCTCAACAGAAGCTTTTGGCATTACTCCCTCTCCATGCTGAGCAAAGATATGGCCTGCTGAACGTCTGGCTGATATGTGACCCTTGAAAACACAGGAAAGTTGAGTGGGGTGACAGCCTCAGTGTTCGCTGATCACCAAAGTCAGCTTTTAAAGAGCAAGAAGACTCCAAGCAATTTCTTATCTACTCGTTCAAATCAGTGCAAATATTTCCTGTACAAATACATTGCATTTATGCAGGAAGTAGCCACAGAAAACCAAGGGCATGTCAGAAACACCAAGCAGAAAGAAGCAGCTGCAGGAGGGGAAGAACTAGGGAGAATTCAGAGCAATTCCTTCTGCGAGACTAGAAGATCTATAGAGTCACAGAGCTGGAAGGGACCACGAGGGTCGTCTAGTCCAACCCCTGAAATGCAGGAATCTTTTGCAAAATTATTTCTGGTGTGGAAATGGGAAAGTGCCAATACAGTCAAAAGGATGTAAATCGGGTTTGCAACCATTGTTAGTCGTTCAGTATATGAATATCAACTTCTATTTTTAAAACACCAAGTCTCCAGTCCTTATCAATGCAAGGGGAGGCTCATCAAAGCAAGTATACAAAGCCAATGCTGTTTTTTAAAGTGACAAAATAGCAGCTACAATACCCCTTCATCCCTGTCATTCACGGACTTCTAGGAATTATTTATTATATATATATATATATATATATATATATATATATATATATATTTAAATATTTGAAGGTTTCGCATTCTGTCTTGTGTTAGAGCATGCATCTACCCACAATTGTGAAAAGAATGGACAAAAAGGAGAATGGCTACCCGTTCTGCTAAGCTGTTCTACGGTGTTATTGGTGCTGGAATCAGAGGCGGTTTTAGGGTAGCGCGACCAGTTCAGCCACACTGGGCACCAGCACCATGGGGGCACTACAACAATGGTGTAGAACAGAGTGCAAGAGGCAGGGGGAGCACGAACTGTAGCATTGCACAGGGTGCTGCTGACATTTGAGATCCCAAAGTTCACCACTACTGGAATGTATCTCTGGGGTTTCTGAATGTATTACACAAAAAAACAACATGCACACATGGCATGTTTTGTTTTATCACATGGAAAGGTCCTTTGTTCATGTCTCTGTCTATAGTCCCTTTTCAAAAGCAGATGTTATCATTAACGCTTATGCTTACGCAATGTCCAAAGCCCTTGAACTCAAGACCTAGCTTTGAGGGATTAGAAAGTGGGGGCCCGTAGAACATCACTCAGTTGTTTGGAATGTAGCTGCAGAAATGCAACAAGGTTGCTCAATGAAAGTAGGGTATACTGATTATACAGCACTCTGTGTTTTGAGAACAGAGTTGTACATTTTGTGTTTGCATGTGTGAAACAGTCATATGCTATCCATTGTGGAGGAGAAAACGAATGGAAGAAGAAAATGGGAAATTAACAAACATATTGAATCTTGGTAACAGAACTATCACAGCATCGCACACATAAAAAAAAAATCATCTCATCACTGACATATTATCTCATGAAACAACACAAATTGTCAAATAGACAGGCCCCGTTCTCAGCTTTGGAATTACTCATTACCTGTTTGGAGAGATGGGGAGCCTTAGTCCAGGCTCTTCACACACACACACCACAAACACAGCTGGAGGGATGCCTTGGTTCAGTTCCCTATCCCAGACAGGTGGCCATGCAAAGCTGGAGAAGAACCTAGATTCAGTTCCTTTTTCTAAACAGGTAGTCAACATCAGCTAAAAGATGTTAGTGGGCACTTCTGTCATCTTTCAGTGCTGAATGCATAGTTTCTCATTCATAGTTTGGAACCATATACCCAGCTCTAGGGACCCCATGGGTCATACAGAATGTACCCATGGAAGTCTGTGTGATTTGTTTGTTTGTTTGTTTACTAGAAGGCCATGCCAGATTCAGTAGCAGGTGATGTGGCAGAGCAACAGCATTCACCTGGCCTCCAGTTGCATTGTTGCTGCTTACAGGGAGGTAGAGGGGTGAGTGCAAAGGGGCACCATGCCCCTCCCCTTCTATCTCCCCGGAGATCAAATTAGCCCCATTGCCACCACCATGTTGTCCGCTACTCATCAGATTCGGGCAGGGGGAAATGAGAGAGGAGAGATAATGCCTACATTTTGTGAAAGAAGTTGAACTTCAATTTTTTTTGGGGGGGGGGGAATCTGATTTGAAAGGGAACAAAAGCTGCTGTTAATGGCTAAATATTCCAAATTGTATAAATTCTTATATCTCAGGGGAAATTGGCATATGTGATATACTCCCATATCTTAACAAGAGCTGAAAGCAATTGGTAGAGGAATTCACACTTCATTTCCAAAATTTCAAGTTTTCAGATGTCTGAAGGCACAAAGGCAGACAATCCCAACGAGAAAGAAAATTGGGAGGCACCTAAAGAAACCAATGGGGCTGCATATGGAGCCTGTAGATGAGCTGAGATGTAAGAAAGGAATGTATAAGAAATGGAAGAAAGGAGAAACCACAAAGGAAGAGTACACATGAGTGGCAAACAGTTTCTGGGAGAAGATCAGCTCAGAATGAACTCAAGCTTGCAAGGGAGGTTAAAAATATTGACAGAGATTTCTTCGGCTATGTTTGAAGCAAAAGGAAAAGCAAATAAATAGTAGGTTCCTTGGGGGAAATCCTATTGGGTGACAGCGAGAAGGTAGAACTGCTCAGCACCTACTTTGCCTCTGTCTTCACCCAAAAGGAAAACAGTGCCCAACATGGTGATAACAGAATAAACAATGTATGGAGGGAGCTGCAGCCCCAAGATAGGAAAAGAGGTGGTAAGGGAACACCTAGCTACCTTAAATGAATTCTAATCTCCAGGGCCTGGTGAGCTGCACCCAAGAGTACTAAAGGAGCTTGTGGATGTAATCTCAGAGCCTCTGTTTAAAGTCTTTGACAATTCTTGGAGAACAGGTGAGGTCTCTGCAGACTAGAGATGGGCAAATGTTGTCCCCATCATCAAAAGGGTGGGCAAAGAGGACCTAGGTAACTAGTGACCGGTCAGGTGGATGTTGATACCAGGAAAGGTCCAAGAACAGATAATTAAACAGTTGGTCTGTGAGCACGTAGAAAAGGAAGCTGTGATTACTAAGACCCAGCATGGGTTTCTCAAAAACAAGTCATGCCAGATAAATCTCATTCTTTTTTTTTATTATATTCTTGTAGAGAAGCTGGTAAAATGTGGACCAGATAACTGTTAGGTGGATTTGTAGCTGGTTGACTGACTAAACCCAAAGAGTGCTCATTAACAGTTCTTCATCATGCTGGGAAAAAACTGACAAATGGGGTTGCAAAGGGTTCTGTACTGGACCCATTGTTGTTCAATATATTTGCAAATGATTTGGATGAAGGAATCAAGGGGATGCTGATCAGATTTGAAGATGGTACCAAACTGGGAGGGGTAGTTAATGCCACAAAAGACAGAATTGGGACTCAAGATGACCTTAACAGATTGGAGAACTGGGTCAAAATTAATAAAATGAATTTCAATAGGAACAAATGTAAGGTTCTACACTTAGCCTAATATGAGATAGGTGACACCAGGCTTGCCAGTAGTAAATGTGAAAAGGATCTCGGGGTCCTGGTAGACAACAAGCTTTATATGAGTCAACAGTGTGATACAGCAGAAAAGAAAAGAAAAGACCCTTGATCATCTTGGTTGCCCTCCTTTGCACACATTCCAGCTTGTCAATATCCTTCTTAGATTGTGGTACCCAGAACTGGACAGAGTACTCCAGGTGTGGTCTGACCAAGGCAGAATAGAGCAGAACTATTACTTCCCTTGATCAGGACACTATACTTCTGTTGACTGCCTCACTTTTTCTTCCCTCTGTTTTCCGCTAAACTATCAAGCAGTGACTTAATCGCATAGCTCGCACCTTCTTTTTACTAGTGGACACAATACATAGTATGGCTTGGGTGCTGTTTTTTTTTAAGATAAAGCATCCTTGCTATACACCTGAATGGACTCGGCTCCTAATGTTTTACCAGCTTGAGTGGAAATGGGTGATTGTTAGAACTGTGACTGAGATTTGGTTGACAGGGATCACGTTTCTGTGTGCATTTACATTCCTTGGAAACTGGAGTTCTGATCTTGTGTCTGGAAAAATGTCTGACAATAAGCATCAGCGTGGTACTGAGAATATCATTATGAAGTCTGCAAGCATAATTTTTGGCAAGCTTGATAGTCAATTCCCCGTTTTCACTGCTTCTTCTTTTTTGTCCTTACAAAAATATTTGCTTCTGCTCTTGCTCATATTTTTGTAGCTGCTGTATGTTTAAGCTGACAGGATCAAAATCAGGGATGTGTTCATAGTAAAACGTTTTGTAAAACTATTGAGAAGGAATGCCTACAGTAACAGATGAACACACTTACTACAATTCACAAAGCCCACTCAATAATATAGTTGGCTCTTTGTAGGAGGATGTGGTGTTGTGCCATGTGCCAGACTGGGATCACTGTGTGTGCTATAGATGCTCCTTGTATTGGATGGCCATGGGAAAGTCATACAAGGTTCCAGTGAAAAGTCCCTCCCCTGGCTAATTTTTAAATGGCAACGATTTTTGTAATCACTGTGTGAGTCTCAAAAGCAGGAATTCCTGGGAGGTAATTGGCTTTGTCGGTCTGTTGAGTGCACCCGGCCTTGATCTCTTCAATTACTGCATGCACGTACCTTCTCTCGCACCAACATGCCACGAAAAGGGAAGCCTGCTGGCTAGCTGAATGGGGGACATGTGCTCAGAAAAGCACAACTCTCCTGTGATCTAATCTGGTGCATGAGAGAATGGGCAATGCCTGCAAAGGGGTGTCAGACCCTTGGCAGTAAATTCAGCAGATGGCTGGTGATACTGTGTCCTCTCTGGCCACACAGGGAGGAAGTGGGAGCTGTCATCACAAACATTCAAACCAGAATCAATAATCCTGAGATAAGGGAGCTCAGAAAGTTACAGGATTTATTCCTCAGGCCCCAACATTTCCATTTCATCTGTCTTCTGGGCCCCTTTGAGCCAATGCAAGGCACATACCAATGAAACCATGGGTCCTGTTTTCCTTAAATATGCTAGGATCAATAACTTCAAAAGTGGACTAAGTCATAACATTTCAATAAAATAGCCAAATTTTACATGGACAGCAGTGCCCATTAAGTGCTCGCAAATGGTATTTTTCCACCAAATTGTGTTCTACTCTAGTTCTGTCAGCCATTCCAATCAGGCCAAAGACACACCAAGTTCAGCATTCAGTGGCCAGTGAGATGCCTATGGGATGCCCACAAGTAGGATCTCAGCACAACAGCTCTCTCCCAGCCCGTGAATCCCATCCATTTTTTCTGCTTCTATTCTTGCCAGCAAACCTCTCTTTCTAACAGCATACACAGGAAGGGAGGTGGTTCTAATTTACTTTAAAAACATGCCAACAGTTAAATAGTACAA